GGTTACCTCAGCAAACCAATTAGCAGATATCTACACCAAAGCACTTTCTCCTGCTGCCTTCAAATTTTTGTACGTCAAGCTTGGAATGCATGATATCCATTCCTAGCTTGAGGGGGGATCTTAGTTGATTAACTCTAGTTAGTTACTGTGGTTAACTAACCATTATAGTTAGTTTTATTTTAGCCTTTATAAAAGGCAATTCTGTAACCGATTCCGATAAGTTGTTTTGATACACAAAATCATTGAATGAATATTATATTTTTCTCCTCTCTTCTTCTTCTCTGAGTTTTCTTTCTCAGATACAATTCCATTGCTCTAATGGTTGTCACCATATTTGATAATACTGGACGTGCGTTTAATAAACTAGTCTCTTTTTATGATTTCACACTAAAGCATAAAATGAATAAGTAACATGTTATTGCTTTAACGTTCAACTGAATTAACGGTAACTCAAAATTCTCAAACACACTGTAAGTCACAATATTGTAACTAAAAGGCACATGTGTGTTTACATTTTTATTATGTTAAATTTGATATAAAGTAATTTATGCATATATTAATTTAAATTTAATTTATTTTTAAATATCTATTTATATGTATTTTTAACTTTATTAACATTTATCTTATTCGATATTTTAAACAGTCAACACGAGAATTACAAAATTTGACTGAAATTGTGTAAAAAAAAAGCTCCTAACGAGCATATAATATATTCATCTTATGTCTTTGTATTTTTTATTCTCTAAGATATAAAATTTGATATTGTGTAATTGTTTCTCTTATTATGTTAGTGTATGTTAGTTTCATATTTAAATACATGTATCATAATTGCATAGTTTTTTTCGGAATTTTGTTTTATATATATTTCCTAAGGTTGACAGTATAGAAGAAGGCAGTTTCTTGTGGCAAAGGCAAGAGGTCAATAGGGTCAGGCTTGTTATTAGCAGTATAAGGGAAACAATCTTCATAGAACACAACATTTCGAGAAACATTTAGAGACCTGGAATTAAGATCAAAAGTCACATATCCTTTTGTGTTCGGTTTAAAACCAAGAAATATAGAGGAGACAGCTCTAGGATCTAGCTTTTTTCTATTAGCTGTTAGTGTACTTGTGTAGAAGTTGCCGATAGACATTTGGCATTTTCGATTTGGGCATCCCTCTTCTGAAAGATTGCAAGCATTGAAACAAACATATCCTGCTATTGATTTTGATAAAAATTTTGTTTGTGAGACCTGCCATAGAGCTAAGCAAAAAAGGTTTTCATTTCCCAACAGTGAATCACATTCAAGTTCCCCTTTTAATCTTATTCATGTTGATATTTGGGGTCCTTGCAACATTCCCTCCATGCAAGGTCATAAATACTTCTTGACAGTAGTAGATGATTTCACACGTTTTGTTTGGGTCTTCTTGATGCGTTCGAAAGCTGAGACACAATCCACTTTGAAGAACTTTATTCTGCATGTAGAGAGACAATTTAATGTTAAAGTAAAAATGGTCAGGTCAGACAATGGATCTGAATTCATAATGCAGAGATTTTATGATGAAACGGGTATTATTCACCAAACCTCTTGTATAGAAACACCACAATAAAATGGCATTGTGGAACGCAAGCACCAACACCTCTTAAATGTAACTAGATCTTTATTATTTCAAGCAAATTTACCTTCGATTTTCTGGCGAACCATTTCGTAGGTAAGTTATCTACGAATTTTTTCGTATGTAAGTTACCTACGAAAATTTTCGTAGGTTAGTTACATACGAAAAACTTCGTAGATAACTTCACTATGGGGAATTTTCAATTTGTAAGTTATCTACGAAAAAGTGTCGTAGGTAAGTTTTCTATATTTCAATTTGTAAATTATCTACGAAAAGGTGTCGTAGGTAACTTTTCTATACAATTTTTCGTAGGTAATGTTCCTATGCAAATTCCTGATGCTACCATTTCGTGGGTAATTTCAGACGAATATTTTCGTAGGTAATGCATACGTATTCGTAGATAAATTCAGACGAATATTTTCGTAGGTAATGCATAGGTAAGTTACCTACGGAGGCCAATTTTCGTAGATAAATTTACCTACGAGCTTATTATCTACGGAAAAAGTTTCGTAGATAATTCGTAGATAATACCCATTTACCTACGAAAATTCTGCATTACCTACGAATTATGGGTGTAGATAAATACCAACTTTCTTGTAGTGAATTTGGATATGTAATATTTGTTATTTAATATGTTAATAATTTATTTTTAATGTATAGAATATCTTAAATTATGTTAATTATATTTTTAAAATCTTTTTTTAACATAAATTGATTTAACAGATTAATAAGTGATTATCTGATTTGACCATTAAATCATCAAGTCACTGCCTAAATTACTTTGATGGTTGATTCAATTTTTATAACATTGTTTTTAAGGTTTTATTAAAAGTATTTTAGTTTTTTTTTCTCCATATTATGCACCAGAGTTTCACTTAAACATATCTCCATATTAGTATAATATTATTCATTTTGAGTCTAAGTCTTCGTAGATTTGTTTTTGATCATTACTCAAAAGTTCTTATACTATTGGAGACACAGTGTTTATAAACCCAAATTAATTATTATTTTTATTTTAAATTTTAATGATGTGAGACTTTAATTATATCTTAACAATTGTTTGATTAAATGAAAAACCATGGTTTAATCTCTTTGTAATGGAAGTTATCTTTTTCAATCTACAAGTGTTCAATGGTGACCCAAAGTTTAGTCATGCTCTAAGTATTTATATCATCACTCAATCATTAGTTTAGATAGCAGGACACACCTCCTAATAGGAAGTCTGTCCATACATGAACTTACTATTAAGAAAACTTTCGATATAAGGGATTTTTTGCTTGAATCTATCTTTCATCATACATGTAAAATGTAACTTTAATTGTATTCCAACAAAATCTTATAGTTAGAAGTAATTAGTTTTTTATTTTATCCATAGTCATCATATATGTAAGAACAAAATATTTGTAAGCATATATATTTTTCTTGTACTATCTTATTAATTTTCAACAAAACCAATCTTTTAATTAATACCCTTATTTTGAATAAATTATGTGTTAAATCATAGTTGGTTCACTCTATAGAAATTTTAGAAAATATTTTACATTTTAACCAAAAAGATTAAAAAAAAAAAAAGAAGCATGAATTTATTAAAAATTTAATTATTATACACATAAATAATCATATTCTTTTACATCATTTTATATTTATCATTTATTTTATAGAACATATGACATGTTTAGATAAACTTCTATAAGCAATTTTAAGAGATAAAAATAAAAAAATAAAATAAAATAAAATATTTTATGAGTTAAAATTAGTTTCTTCATGAGTTAAACGTTAACTTTTAAAGAATCTAATTTTATATAAAAATTTCCACAAATTAATTTATATATAAATTAGTTTTAACTTTTAGATAAGTATATTTTACTTTTTTCTTTTAAAAGCATCTACGAAAGGTTTATTAAAATAAACCTATATTAATCATCAAATTTTAGCTCTAAAATTTTAAACTCTCGGTATTTTATTTTAACTTTAAGATCATTTTTTAGTCCTCAATAACTTTTCATCTTTTAATTATTTTTTAACATCAATTAACTTTTCAAGTTTTTTAATTCATCGGAATCAAACTTATATTATCTTTACAACAACTTAGAAAATCTACTCACAAACAGCTCACATCGATCAATTATTTATGTCAAACAAACTAGTTGGTGAAACAATTTTTTTTAAGAAAATTTTAATGTGATAGTTAACGTTGGGTTTTATGTATAATATGTTGTGGTAAAAGCTAAGACAAAAAAGAAATATTAACTTATAATTATTTTTATGAAATTAATGTTGCATTTATTATTCATTTTGGTGAAAAGTATTTAATAATATTACTAGTTCATACTTACTAGTTATACTAATTAGGAATCCTCGTATTGTCAATAATGGAAAACAAGAATTGTGAAAGACCATCTTGCTTGACCTGGAAATTGGAAGCATTCCCCAGTCTCACCCCAAAACCAGAAGTACAAAAGTAAACGCCCATGGTTTCGGAAAATTCAGTATCCACATGCATATCATCCGTACATTTACGAGTGTAATATATTTTTCCATAATAAATTATCACACACAGTACTGTACCAAATAAATAAATAAATAAATTATTGCATACAAATATACTCATTTCATCAATAAGTACGTACGAAAATAACTTCGTAATTTTATCGGTAATTATGAAAATTAACATTTGAAAATGCAAAGTAGAGTTGTATGTCACGAGATCGTAACATATATATATTTAAGATGTATTTGAATAAACAGTTTAACTAAAATTTGATTTTCTTAATTTTTAAAATTATACAGCGTTAGTCTATTATTAACATGACATTTAAAAATAAATACAAATTATTGATGAGTATTTGTGAGTGATATTATCTATCCTAGCTAGTTAGTCACAGGAAAATAACAGTGTTAAAAATGTAAAATAAATTTGTTTCAATTGATTATAAATTTTAATTAAAATAAAAAAGAGACATGAAGTATAAAAGTAATGTTGTGCCTTAAATGAAAGCCAACATAACTAACTGTATTTTACTTAATTTTGGATCAACATGTTAATAATGAATTAATATTGTTTAATTTTAAAGACTAAAAAAACCAAAAGTAGATTTTTTTTTTTTTTTTTTGTTTTTATCAAAATTGACAAGGATGCTGTTTTTTCGGCTTGAAACACTAGAAACTTAAAAGCCCTTTTAAATATATTGCTGATATAATCAACATATTTATACTGTCAATTAATTAGATTTTTAAAACAATGATTTAAAAATCAATAGCTTTCAATTATATAATAATTTATGATTAAATTATATATTTGCGTAATTTCCGTCATGGTTTTGAATTAATTATATTCAAATTTGTTTCCAGTGAAAGACGATTTTGGGCATGAGTGTTCACTATTCAGTATGTAATTGAGAGATAGTTGATTGATATGCGAAGAAGATAAGGAAAATTGGTGAAGGAACCCTAGTAAATGGGGAGAGGAAAGATTGCTATTCAAAGAATCGAAAAATCGACGAGCCGGCAAGTAACTTTCTGCAAGAGAAGAAATGGATTAGTGAAGAAAACTAGAGAGCTATCAATTCTCTGTGATGCTGAAGTTGGACTCATTGTGTTTTCCTGCACGGGCAGGCTTTATGAATACTCAAACACAAGGTAAACTCAATTCCTTTTCTCTTTCGATTTTATCTGATAATTCATCATTATCTATAAATCTTAATGCTTGATATTATTTTACCTCTTTTCGATCTCTTCTTTAGTTTGTTTTTGGTTGGGGGGATTAGAAATTAGAATCCCTTCTTTTAGATGAATGAATAATTGATACATACATGTTCATTGTGGTTCTTATGTAGTTGGTTGGCGTGGTTCTAGTTTCACTCTACTAATATGATATCTGAAACCACTGAAATCTGATGATAAGGTGTCTGGGAATCTATATATTTTGTATCAAAACTTTGAAGGGATTGTGCTATTTTTAACCTTAAAAACTTCAAGAAAAAACAATAATGTTCTTCTGGATAAATGGGCTTTGTGCTGCAATTATGCATCTATTTGCCTACATTTGAACCCGGCAAGTATCCCAGGAACTTCACTATTTTTCTGACTTCTATGTCTCGTGTAAAACAGTGTTTGCTATGCTCACGGTTTAGCTTTACCTTCTCCCTAATTAACATTATATTTCTCATCAGATAGATATAGTTGTTTTCAGAATTACCCACTCTGATATTATATAATCCAGAATAAGTTGGGGGAGCTTTTCTTTTACATTTGAAAACTGCATATCTCATCTCCCCAACAAGATTCTTGTCAATTTATATATGGTGCACATTTGATTTACAACATATTTTGTGCGCATTTAATTGATTTTACACCCAGTAAATTATACTTAAATTTAATGATGTATTTTTAAATCATTTAATTAATGAGTTTGACTGCAAATGTGATATAGTGTAAATTAATGCATCGTTTTTTATTGGCAATGCATCAAAATTATATTCATTCAATAAAATTTCATTATATTGTTATAATAATGATAATATCTTTATTAATAAAGATTGAAATAATGTACTAATTTTATAATTTTTTTGTTAGATCCATTATAATGTACTTATTAGTTTCATATTTGGCATCCCATCTAATAATATTTGAAGACTGGACACCCCAGAGACTAAACCCTACGTTGGTCGCATTCCAGGAACTCAATTGACAGTTTAGTCAAAACAAAGTTTTCTTCAATAATCATATAATTTCAAATATTATAGGACTTATAATAACTGAGATTTTGGTCTTTGGTTCTCTCGTAAAAGTTTGCTGGAGTAAAATACATGTTTCCAGATCGATGTTTAGATCCTTTACGATGTACAAAACAATTTTGTTAATTCTCAGATTATGTATATAATGAGTTAGAGTATTTGGATAAACGAGTTGTATAGATTGATCCTTACAATGCTAATACATACCGGTTGGATTTTTTTAGGAAATAAATTCAAAAGTATCAGTGGAAATATACATGTTTAAGTTGTAAGCTAATGCTAACTAGTAGTCGGTCCCTTAAAAGTAAAATTTTACTAAGTAGTCAACATAATGCATGCTAATAAGTAAATGGCATCCAGTTTGACTCATTTTGAGCTTAATATTTAAGCTTGAGTAGAATAATAAGTTTAATATGATATTCCAGCATGGGTTTTTCTCTTTAATGTGATAGCTAGCCTTTTCAGTTGAATTTTTCTTGTGTTTAAGTCATCACAATGTACTGAGTAGTGAATACTAATTAATAAGTGAAGCACTATAATAAGTTAATTTAAAACCAAAAAAGTTCATTTTCTTCATTATTTTGCTTTATTTTTCAGTCAAATTAATCTACAGGTTCCAAAATTAATTAGTTGAGAATTTGTAAATATGTTCATATACATTTAAAAGTTTTATGTAAAAAAAATACATTTAAAAATTTATAATTAAGTTCTTAAACTTACTAATCATTTTTAGTAATTAGGTTTGTGATTTGCATTTTTGTAAGGGCTCTCTTAAATATAAAAACCCAATTAATCATTTTTAAATGGTTTGGGAACTTGCTGAATTAAACAAGTGATCTGGTCCCATAATTGATTATCATTAAAAAAAAATATTCAATTAGATTCTTGTACTTAATGGAACCTTGACAGAATCCAATTAAAAATGATCTAAAAGTTTTAGATCCTAATTTAGACTTTTAAAATATAGAGAAATACTGAATAGTCTGATAATCTATGGATTAATTCAACTCTAGATCTAACACCAACACATGAATTAATTTACACAAAATTGTTAGAATTTAATTGATATTTTAAATTTTAAATTTTAAATATATAATTTTATTAAATATTTAAAGAAAAAATAATTTACCGCTCACAATAATCATGATAGTTCAAACAATAATAGATGGTATTTGTATTATATATATATATATATATAATACATTTTTAAAAATTAATCTCATCATTTATAAAAAATTTTTATTAGTCAAATAAAATGTATAACGACATTTTGATAGCACTCACAAAGTTTTAATTAGGAATTAAACAAGAACACTATTAACTCAACTTTTAACTTAATTCAATTGTATAACGATCTATTAGGTTATTATACTTAATATAATATAGTACTATGTAACGGAAAACATAAAAGCAATCAATTATACTAATGTTTTCATGCAACAAATACTTTAATATTCATGTAACAAAGGACACAGTTAAATTTATGGATATTGTGATATTGATTGGGCAAGTTGTCCTATAGATCGACATTCTACTATTGGATACTGTGTACGTATTCCTTGGTAGAAATATCATTTCTTGGAAGAGTAAGTAACAAAGTATTGTTACTTAGTCTAATGTCGAAGCTGAATATCGAGTTATGGCCTTGATTACTTGTGAATTTGTTTGGATTAAGCAACTTCTTCGAGAGTTAAGATTTTGTAAGGTTCATCCAATAAAATTGTATTGAGACAATCAAGTTGCACTTCACATTGCTTCCAATCCAGTATTTCACGAGAAAAGCAAGCATATAAAGGTTGATTGTGCATTCTGTGAGAGAGAAGTTGTTGGCCAAGGAAATTATTACCGAATTTGTCAATTTCAATGAACAACTTGCAAATGTTATGACTAAGTTATTAAGGGGGCCTCAAATTCAATTTTTATGTTCCAAGCTTGGTGCATACAATTTGTATGCACCAACTTGAGGGGGAGTGTTAGAATATCTTTACGTTTGTAAGATATTGTCTACTTTGAGTCTAAATTCTCATGATTTTATTTTTGGTTATATATCTCTCAATAAACCTATTTCAAATGAAGACTATGTGTACTTTATAAATCTATGTCAATCTTTTTATTCCAATGATGTGAGACTTTAATTGTATCCCAAATATATATATATATATATATATATATAAGCG